TGTGCTATACATGTAAGTTGAGGGTTTTTTAAAACAGTATTTCTCACATGGAGGAATACTTTAGTGGAATTATCTGGGATCCGGGAGTTTTGTAAGAATTTTAATATTTTTGTATTATCTCACCAATGATTTCTAAAAATTAATATTTGGAATCATCTGGAATACTTGCTAATAACTAAGTATTGCCATGTATACCAGTACCAAGATGCATTTTTTGACACATAATGTCATGACTATACAAATGAAAGGTTTATAAAGTAGCTCAGAATGAGGTCCCCAAATTTGGATCTATGAGGTGTTATTTTTTTTTTCTTGAGAAACAGTATAAAAGGTAAATCAACATAAAGGTAATAAATTATATCAACCTGTCAACAAATATTTAATAAATATCTACGAGAGAGTCACTATATTAGGCAATGCTTGGTACAAAAAGCATTACGAAACATGATTTCTATCTTTAAGCAAAGTATAATGTAGCTGGAGAAAAAAGATTTTCATAGATAAAAATAACAGATAAACAAGATAATAAATAAATACCTAGGAAACAAAATGATACTGGAATTTAAAAGATGCAGAAATCACCATAGGCTGCCAGTTGTTCAGGGCTTTATGAGAAAGATGGGTTTTTTAGCGGGTCCTCATAGATGGGCAGTATTTTTGACAGGCAGAAGGCAAGAGACATTCCAGGAAGAGGAAACAAAATTAACCAATTTGTGGTGTTAGGAGGCTTGGGAAAATCTGTGGACAAAGTTTATTTCAATACATCTAAAATATTCTGACTGCAGTGATAAGTGAACTACTAAAAACAATAGGTACTTAGAGTGGCCAGAAACAAAATGAGTCCTTAGAGTTCAACAAAAGTGGAAATAGCCAATGTGCAACAGTACATTGATGTACTACCGCTTGACCTAACTTAACACTTGAGTAAGCTGTGTTGTCTTAACCCAGGACTTCCTTTCTCTTTTCATTCTCTTGGTGTATACGTCTTTGGTTCCACTGGTATTGGCACCCTGAAAATAGCATATGTATGATCCAAGTGTGTTATATGACTCCTGTGGACCTTATCACACAAAAAGTTCAAGTGCAGGAATAACTCTGAGCTTGGATGAGCCATCTTGCTAAATTTAAGTTTTATGTATTATGATGTAAGGTTTTTTGTACTTAATGAAAATTGATTATAGCTATCCTTTTAGTTCTCAATGATTAGTCAGGATATAAACTTTTTTAAATGGCAGAATTGGCTCCTTAGAGTACAATGATGTTGCAAAAATTTTTGTTGATTTTCTTTATATAGACACTCAACCATCATAGATTCATTTTATTGGTTTTTCTCTTGGAATGCCCAAGAGTGAGGTGAGTTATAGTTAACATTTTCTTGGGTTTCTCTTTGTGACTGTCTCTGCTAGGAGCCATTTTTATGTGAAGTCCCATGGAGTTGTAAGAGTTTACTATGCATTGCTATTCATGTGTCCAAGCAAGAGCTAAAAACAAATTTGTACTTAAATTTGGAGATCTGCAGGAATTCAACTTCTACTGCTGTGTAAGAATGAGGCCTTTTTATTCTAGCTGTTAGATATCTGGATGTATATTCTGGTAGAAATGCTCCAATCCAACTGCTTTTTATTGAATCTTTTAAATTCAACATTCCTTATCATCATGAAAAAAAAACAGAAATTCTAACAAGTAACTTATGCTGGGTAAGATTCTTTAAAGGCTTTTAGTAAAAGATGGCTAATTCTTTGTTTACTTGTACTAGATGCTGATTCAAACAAAATGGAGTCTTTTGAAAAACTGAATAGGACAAATCTTCCAAAGTTGAAGAATTTAGTAAATTGAAGTCATACTTATGTAGCTGATAGAAGTTGGCAGCATAATGAAGATTACTGGAAAAGCAGTTTTGTAATTGTCTAAATTCTATACCTTGTTAAAAAAAAAGGCCAAAAACCAAAAACCAAACCACCACATACAAAACACCCAGAATACAAATATTTGATAGAATTAGAGTCAAAATTCCTAGAATAAACCATCCCTAATCCATCACTGTTGTTGAGGAGATTATATGGAATACTCTCTGAGGAGGGCATCAGAAACACTGTTAAGAAGTTAAGAAACTAAATATAGTAAAGACCAAGGTCAATGACTGCTATCTGTATAAAACTCTTAAGTGTGGTGCCTGAGGCTGTGTCTTGAGAGTACATAGGATTTTCCTTAGGGAGCAAATTCAAGAGGATAAAAAAACCCCAAAGGAATATTCTGGGAAGAGTCAATAAATAAACCAGAGGGCATATGTTAAATAAGTAGGTTCTATCTAAATCATGGAATATATTAAATAGCTTAAGGATGCTGAATTTATCCTGTAGATACTGAAGATCTATTTGAGATTTTAGAAGTAAGGAAATGATTGAAAAGTACATTAAATATACTTTATTTTCCTCTTCTTTCAAAAAATTTCCTTCTACCTCCTATCTTGTCTATTAGGTTCTTTCTTCCCCTTCCTCCTTTATTAGTTTTTTTTTTTGAGTCAATATTGTTTAATAGATAAAAACAGGGTTTTTATTCAGACAACCTGTTTCAATGCTTGCTGTGTCTTTTGTATTATTTATTTTCAATATTTTTCTACCCTAGCTTATACTTTACAATAGCCAGTGGCAGTCACATGTATTTTCTGATAATGTTCAGAATTTTAAAAGGTTGTTAATTCTTACTTTATTGCCTTTTTGCATCCTTCCTACTTTTTTTATTGAAGTCAATTTACAACGTGTCAATTTCTAGTATACAGCATAATGTTTCAGTCATACATATACACGCATATATTCCTTTTCAAATCTTCCTATGTCCTTTTTAAACAACTATTTATTGAATACTGTATAAAGACAGATCCTGCAAATTATTGTTAGTTTTCTTTAGGGGACCTAAACTATCATCGTAAGTCAGTTTATCAGGTTTGGTCTTGGAATGCCCAAGGCCTGTATGTAATTTTACCCAACTCCTAGGTTAGTCCTGGTCCACAAATTCCAGGCCTCAGAAGGCCACAGACATTTGGGGAAACCTCATCAAACATTCACATGTATCACAAGATAATGTGGACAGGTCAGTTCCCTGTGAAGTAAGGATTTCAGAGCATTCCCTCATTCCCACATACTGTGGATTGGGATGAACCCCTGGGGTCTGAAAGATGCTAGCCCAGCAAATATTTCTGCACACAGGAAAATTCAAGGAGCTGTCATTTGGGAATTACCAAAAATAGCTGTAAATCATTACCTAGACCATTTGAAACAAGAAATCCTTCCTCAGCGATACAACCGTTAACTGTTCAAGCTTGAAAGATCACCCACTATTTGATGCTCGTGAAAAATGTGCAAGTAAAACTAGATCTTCATTGGGAAAAAAAAAACCAGAACAACAGTAAGAGGAGACTTTAGTAACAAGTTAATCATAGCTCTTGTTTGGTACACAAACATCAGCTAGATAAAGAGCAGGAAAATGGGATTCTGTATTGAAGGCTTTGTTGGAGAAGAGTAGTGTCTAGCTGTGTAATTAGAAAATGAGAAATCTATTTTAACAACAAATCTACAACTCCTGATTATCCAAGAGGTA